AGAATATAATATAACGTAACAGTAAAGAAACTCAAATACGTAAGATGTTGACTTTAGAAACACTAAAATTTATTAGGCGAATATTTCGGCTACTCCTGTAGTCTTTGTCAACGCTTGACATAAAATGGACATATTGAGAAAGTATCTTGGCAATATACAATTTGAGAAACAATACGGTAATTAAGTCAATGCAAGTTGGCATACGTCTATAAAGGATTAATGATAATATACAAATAAACAGTGATAAGGATGAACAATGAATGAGCAAGTGGTGGACTGTGGGAAAGCATTACTATAAAGCACATACCACATTTTGGTGGCGACATGATTTCGAAAATCAATTTTTTTTCAAACAATCAAATATTAGTCCTATTTCATCAGTATAAGTACATGCGTGTATTATTTATTTTGTGTTTTCATCAAAGGACATATCAGGAGGGTTCCAGTTGGGCAGTTCCATTAATTCATCATTGATTTCCCCATCCGCGGTCACACCCCTGGGACTAGGAATTATTTACACACACGCACAGCTAATAATGACCCTGTACCAATCCTAACACGAAACATACAATGATAGACACCGACAGTATTGCACATAAAAAAGTACGAATTATTTTTCTCGAGTCATTAATTCGTGGTTGCAAATATCGGACCATAGCCTTCCTAATGACACACATTATCCCAATAACGATTAGCTTACATCCGATATATTGTATTTATACTCAAATGTTAACTGTTTCTAGGGGAATTGTTTCTCGACCGATTATAAATAGCAACGAAAGCTTGATGATTGAAAAAGAAATTAACAACAAATTGCACTGCTGCTCTATCAGTAAAGGAATATGTTCTATTATTAGTGATCACAGATTTATACCACATGGGTATTTGCAATCGTCACAACCAATGCACATAATTAAGGCGAGTGTGTAAGTACTGCTCATTTTAATTACAAAAGTACAATTTACCTTGAATCTGAGTGATACAGATGGAGCATAGGACACTCCCGCTAGACCAGAAGAGCGACGAAACATTCTGTGGAATCAAGCATCGTAATTATATAAATGTCTCGTGTATGGATGTTATTTTAATTCAAATGTTTTAAGGCAATTACGGATCAGGCCCCACAGACAACCCCACATGGCATTGAATGTGTATTGCGCATTATTCAAATAACACCGAAAAATTCAAATTAAACTGTATACCGTCGGCTTCTCAAGAAACACTTGATCCCTAAGTAGATCTTACGTAACTGTCCAAACTTTCTGTTTTGCTGTCATATCTGGTGTCTTTGTTGATCACCATTGGTTACCGGTATCTTTTTTTATATATTTTTATTGCGCCTTGTATCCCTTGGCAAAAGGCGCAGTACAAGTTCCTGTATTATTATTATTATTACTATTAATTATTATTGTTATTAATTATTATTATTATTATTATTATTATTATTATTATTATTATTATACCGTATCAAATTAATTATTATAAAACATTAACGATTTAAATAAAACATTTAGTCATCAATAAAGTACTGATACTAATAATTGTTTAATTTGATTCCCAATAAAAGTGTTCAATGGACTTTTCTGTTAAGCCCGACTCCTTGGATATGCTATGGTCCCACAAAACAACAGCGTAAAAACCACTGATCTCTATTATAATATAAGAGATCAGTAGTAAAAACACGCACATAACTACGTGTTAGAAATTAGTCTTCACAGTCAATGACCTTTCCATATACAAAGATGGATTAAACTCAAACAATAGAAATGATTATTAAATTAATAATGTTAAAAACAATAATATCTACATTCCAGATTTCAATTTCAGAGGCACGTATATAAAAATATGGATTGAAAATTAATTATCAGTTCAAATACTTAAAATTCTAAAAAAAGAGAGAGAAAAAAAGACGACATAGAACAATAGAAGTTTACAAAATCTATACAACAGAGTAAGTTAGTCCTAAAATCTTTAAAGGAGTACGGTAGTATACCTTCTGCCACAATTGATAGGCTGCAGTTAAGTGGAGGATCTATGACCATTAACAGGGGGTCGATAGGGAACATTGCAAAAGTGTGGGTCGCTAGTTGGAGTATAAGCAGGTGACGTAATTTTAAATGATTTGAGCTCACGAATGATACCTCAGAATTTGTGGATTAGAATCTCGATTAGGAAACTTTTCATTTAATATTTCAGTTAAAGTTTTCGTCTAGAATTACCGTATACTCGACGAATTTCAATCTGAATACCGCCATGAGCTCGATGTATTCTTAGATGCAATTTACGACTAAGCTTCTATTTTCCTGCGCGATAGTGTAAAATCTGTTAGAAAAATTATTACCATAAAGGAATTAGAACATATTTTATTTTTCCATACAACGCTGTTTGCTCAGAATCTTAACCAATAATCACTCTAAAAACGATCGCCTCAAAACATGCCATGACTCATGATGTGATGTGATGTTAGGTTGTGTCATTATGTACAGTAGTTGCTTTTATGATGAACGCGAAGATATACAGCGACTATTGGTTTTGTGTTTCTTTATGTGTAAAAAAAATGCTAAATAGATTTAATGACAATCATAACATTTAACATAGAATTCATCAGAGACATTTCGTGATTTCAATCAGCCGAATTCTCATTAATAAAAATCATTCTTAATTTCTTTATTCCAATTTTTATTTCTATTACTATTTTCATTAAGGCCAGGCTCCGGTGGGGATGGGGGATGGATATGTTGTAAATTAATTAATAGGCCTATTTTAAATATTATAGGTGTGTTTGAAGAAAAAAAATGGGAACGGAAAATAAGATTCATGATTTTTAATGTTAAAAAAATTAGTGTATTAGTAATATAATTTTTTTTTTGAACCGCCTCACAATAAAATTGTAATGTATACCATCTAAGAGAGCTTGAAACATAATTTTATTAATTGAAAAACGACAACATAAACGGAATTAAATTGGGCATCAAAACCATTACGCCTACATAAAACATTTTTGGAAACCCACGATAAAGCACTTTATCAATTCAATGTTTTCATTTGATTCCCTGTTTTTGAACTTCTTAAAGATGGGAACCGGTAGTGAGGTGGCAATTTCGAATTTTGAGGGCGTAAATTGCAACTTATACTTTTAAGAGAATTTTTGTTCCCATCTTCCACTGAACACGCAAAAATGTCTGAACCGTTTTTAAAGTGAAGTATAATATTCACAGAAGGCCTGGTAGTTTAGTTGTCAAATCGTCAGGAAATCTGAGTTGCTGGTTCGATTCCCAAAACAGGCAATAATTTCTTCACTTCACCTTAGTTGCTTAACATAATGGTACAAATTATAGTAGATATTAATACGATTTGAATAGGCCTAAAACAACAGACTGTGGACATACCGATCAAGAAACATGCCCGTTCGTAGAGCTTGAACGATGCTCTTAAATCGAGGCTTTTCCTCCTGTGGACCACGAGACCTGACGTTGGGACGACAGAACGTAGACGTCAACCAATCACGAACTTGGTCTGGAATCTCTTCGGCGGGAACCTCTGATAAACAGTCTTCATCACTATTCATATATAGCCCCATTCTGTAATGATATAAAGGTAACGTAAATCATAGTATATTTTGTAAATAAATATATCAACCATAGTCCAAAACAAAAAAGCTACCAAAAACAGATGTACAGATACATATTAGGCTTATTTATAATTAAATCTAAATTTACTTAGGCTACATACATAGACTAACAATGCATGATGCTGATCTATTTTAATCATAAGGACACAAAAACAGTCTTACAATGGTGTTGGCCTATAATGACGATATAATTATAATTATTTCTCACGATATATTTTAAAACGACGATTATAATTTAAATAGGCCTATAGCTATAGTAATAGAAAGAACACGTCTGGGGTAAGTTAACGTGCATAAAGGCTCCACAACAGTACAAGATCTATATAAAAAAATATTGTTTTGATAAATAATGTTGAAAATACCTGGTATCGTATTTTTAACAAGACAAATCAATTGTTTTATTTAACTCTCTTTGTAATTACGGAACATCACTAGTCCACCCCAATGCACTTTTTTGCTAACAGAGATCAATGTGATACGTCCTCGCCAATTCATATTTTTAGCTCATAATATACAAAATAAAAAAACCCTAAACCATCTAGTAGTAATGCTGAAATGAGTATGTCAATTTTGATTTTTTTTTTTTTGGCCTATTGTATACAAAAATAAATTCACGCATATTAATAAGTGTGTGTGGATGGGGTTGGGTGTGTGTTTTTTGTGTGAGTGAGCGAAGAACATAATTCTAGCTTGGTTGTATATTGAACAAGACAGAATTAACATGACAATAAACCGTTTGATGGCGAATATAAAGGAGATGAAATGGTAGGCTAATTTGCTAAACACGGTATTATGCACTAAATACGTAAGATAGTTTAAAGCGGCTGTCTTTCACCTAGTCATTAATTTTTACACGAGTGCATCAATATTTGAAAATGTCAACTCGTGCGTATTAAATGTCCAAACAGAGAAAAAGTTACAAAAACATGTCATGAGATAACCGTCACAATATGGATAAACATAATTGTAAAGGATGTGAATTTAAATGCGTTAAATGTACAAAGCACAAAACATGATAACAGAAAAAAAAACCACCTATACTGTGCCTTTAATTACAGCCATATGGGCTTCATGTGCGCCAAGGACATTAATTTCAATATTTATAATCACAAATATATAATAACCATTAGATGTATTAATAATCCCATGCAAAGCATTTATGAGACGAGTATATATTTTTCACCCAATTTTAGGATAAAGTTTTCAAGATATATTGTGTTAGTTAAGATTTATTAAACATTTAAATAATCATTTTGAAGGTATCTTTGTTATGTAAGTTTTATATCCATGTTATAATATATAGGAATTAGGCCTAATATTTATAGGCACATTCTATGTTTTATAAAATCAGAACTATTTATTTCACGACATTGGCATAGGTAAAATGGTGACATATGCGCTCTTATATTATTTATTTATTTATGGTATCATAGGCATATATTTGTTTTAAATATTACGAAATATATCATGTTTTATAGTTTTTTTTTATAGACACTTTAATTTGATTCGTGGAAACCACACACTTGTTTACAATAGCATTTTTAGAAAAAGCCTGCCTTTAAGCAATACTGTGTAAAACATATATAGGCCTATACACTACACCTGTAACATCCACATTTTTATTTAAATCTTTTAACTTTTAAATATGCCTTTTTGATAGTGTGCTATGCAAAAAAATAAAATCAAGTTCCAATGATATCTTAATACATTTTCATAAATAATCTTGTATTGTAGTGGACATTCGTGACGTAATTTAGAGTAATGTAGACAGAAGAGTTATCGAACTTGAATGTGAATTAGCAGCAAAATGTGCTATTGTCCTTACTTGCAGCTACAGTATTATAAGTGCAATTCCATTCGTAATGCTAACTTTATCTCAATTACGGACTGTTTTATGAGTAAACTAACCTGTTTTCGTCTTTACGAACCGAATCTAGAACATCAGCAGCATATTTCAGAGTTTTCTTTAAAGTGTGAGAATCGAAGTCACCATTTTCCACTCGACGTATCAAAAAGCGAAGTTTATCGGTTGCTATAGTAACTGATTCGGTTGTTCCGGGTGATGGTAAACTGTCATATTCCGTGCTGACGTCCTCCTGTGGGGATATATTGCTGTTGGACTCTTTGCTGATGACGTTCTTCGACATTATATTTGATTCTGTGGATATTTAGGAAATATGATACTGACAACTGACGTTTATATCATCGGGCGTTACCGTACGTCACAACCCAAGCAGGTAGGTCGATATAAACATCGCCATCGTCATCACTGTCATCATTCCTCATCGTCATCATCATTATCATCATCATCAACATCAACATTATCATCATTATCAACATCTTCACCATTATCATCATCATCGTCGACGTCGTCGTCGTCATCATCAACATCATCTTCATCATCCTCATCATCGTTATCAACATCCTCATCATCATCATGATCGTTGCTCTTAGATAATATTTATTTCATTATATACTTTACAAAAGACCTAATAGTATTTTACTCTTTGCAATGAAATAATTTATTATCTTATTTATCCAATTTTGGTCTTCTGGGAATAAGGAGCATTATATAATAATTATATGTGATGTGATTTTCTTATCACATTTCAAACCTGAAATGATAATAACTAATACCATGGCTCTATAAGATTATATTACTCCCATTGTAAACATTAAAATTACAACAGGCCTAAATTTATCATATGGAAAGAGAATATACTAGCATTGAAAGATAAACATTACAAAGTCCTACATAAAAATCATTAGGCCTATTGTAAATTATAATTGTAATGTATGCATTTGGAGTAATCAATATTATAGATTATAGATATTTTTTACTACTCTCATTGCATCTTAAAATTATAATAGGTCAAATTTTACTAATCATTCATAAAATTATTTATTTTTTGCAGCCATTAAAGATGAAGAATAGGTATACCATTACTTTATGACTACCAAATAAAAATATCAAGTACTCTTTATAACACATTTTATGATTTTGGTTTTTAAAAACAATACAATATATTGTATACAGCTTCTTTCTCCGTTGCCATTAATGACCAATGTCTGCTCGCAGTCGCGTTAAAAAAAGAAACGTTATACAATGGCTGCAATTGAAGAAGTCACTGATTATGCGCATACAATATTTAACCTATTTCTGCTAGTTAAGAGGTTAGTTTTTGTAAACGATAAGCATGTATATATGATAATGACCTAGCAAAACCACTAAGATTTTAAAAGATGACGTTTCATTAGCAGAATTTATTCGGGGCATTTGGAAAGGTTACCAAAGTCAATCAGCAGGATTTCGCAAAAT